TCCTTTCTTTCTCATTTTATTTTGGATTCTTTTCTTTTCATTTTCGGTATCATGCATGGATTCTTTTCTTGTCTTATATATATCTCTCTCTAAAAGTAGCCTTTGCCGAGAACAATGAAAGAGCAACTCTTTACTGCTACTTTAATTTATTATCTTCTGTAAAGGAAAAAAAAAACATGTCGTGGTTGGTTTCAGAGAGGCAGCTATATATATATAGCTTATATAGAAGGAAAAATGATAATAAAATCCCTTTGAAATATATAATCGATAATTTGATCTTTCAAAATGTCACCATTTTTTTGAAGTCCCTAGAGACTTTTCTATAATGAATTTATATAAATTATCAAATTGCTTTTGTTGAAAATATATGATTCACAAGTTTTATTTAAATATTCATAATTTTCCTTCTTATAGTCACAACAATGCAACAATAAATCATAACTTCGCATGTTAAATTCATTTTTTGTTGTTGCATTGTTGTGAATATAAGAAAGAAAGTTGTAAATATCTAAACAAAAATTGTGAATCATTTATTTTGAATGAGGGCAATTTGATAATTTATATAAATTTATTAATGACAGAAAATTTTCTAGAGACTTCAGGGGAACTATAGTATTTCGAAAGACCAAATTATCACTTTTATATTCTAGAGAGATTTTATTGTTACTTTCCCTAAATAGAATGCTTTATATTTTTCTCTATCTTCCTACATAATCCTAATAGTTTAAATAAGAATATTTAAACCCACCCTTTTTCTTCGGAAAAGCATCTTAAAACTACATTATACATTAAGAATTTTGGGTGCTATCTTAAGTTACAAAAGTTGTGGCATCTCTAGTACAGTGGTACTTGACAATGCAAAGTGAGAATCGGTTTCATATAGCAGAAAGAAGGTGAACTTCATTCTAAATTCTATATATGGTTAGGTAAAAGTGTGAATTACATCCTAAATTATAGGTCCAGGAATATATAAGTCTCTAAACTCATTTTTTATACAATGTTTTCCTTCAATTTTTAAAAACGGTACAATCCACCTTTTATTAAGAAAGGGTAAATATAAAAAGAGTGCGTAATTTTAAATACAATTAATTTCACTCATTGGAAGTGTAATTTGACTAAAAGTGTCATATAAAATTTTAAGCATCTTAAATATAATTAACATATATTATTGTTATAATAAAAACATGATATTTTCTGCCTTTTTCCTAATTTTGCAAAACAAAAAGTGTCAAAACACCTAAAAGATGTTATAGTTTTTTACTTTTTCAGAACAACTTTTAATTTTTATTTTCAAATTCAATAACATAAAACATATTTTCAAAAAGGTTTTTTTCAAACAAAAATACTGTTTTAGAACATCTGATCAAATAGTCCCAATGTTTTAAAAACTAGACCGCTAGTTATTGAACAACTGGTTAACATATTAGTTCAAGAATTAATAGTCATCAAGAGAAAAAACTTATGCATTTAGCCTTATATACTCAAGGTACTTGTTTTTAATTAAATCAAGGCATATTGTTTTACAGATTATTTATTATGTAACAAATTCTTGTTATTAATATTATTAATATATTAAAATTCACTTGTCATAATTTGATTGGATAAAAGTATGTTAAGTATATGAGACTAAGTACCTTAGTGTAATTGCCTAATGGCCCAAACCATAGTTGAACCAGGATTAAATTGGTCATAAGAAAAATGTTTATTAAACCAATTAAAGTACTAGTTTAATGGTTTAATTTACTCATTCAATTAGGCAAAATGACCCATATTCTCCCCATATATATCTCTTCTTCTTCTTTTATTTATTTCTTTTCTTAATTCTGAACTCACCATTCTCACTATTTTCTCCCTAGCTATCTCTTTTTTTTTTTCTGCTCCTATAAGTACTAACGAACTTTCTTTCTAATTTTCTCTTTGGTTTCTTTAATTTTTTTTTCAGAGTTATATATGTCTTTGAGCCTAAAGACAAAATGCCAGCTCAAGAAGAGGAACCAAGGTAAAAAACATGACAAGCCTAAGAAGCATAGCTTGGTTCGTCTTTGGGAGAAAGGCGTGCCACACATGAGCTTGGAGTAACCCTCAAGAATCGGGGATGACTAGACCGTTGCATGATATGGTAAGGCGTGCCACGAATCCACATGCCATGCTAAGTGATCTCTGATATTTCATGTGTAGGCTCCAAATTTTGTGGGAGTAACGGTTTTGATTGAATACTCATAAAAGGAACATAAGGTCGCAGGAAAGAGGCATCGGCAATCGAACAACAACTTCTATTGACACTTTCAATGTGTTTTCAATATCCAAATTTACCTTACATTCTTAGATAGTTTTGGAGGTCCTTTTTCAGTTTTTTAGTAGTGTGGTTTTTACGACTTTGTACTTTGCATTATTTTTCAATTAAACACTCGCTTATCCTAATCTCTTTGCATAATCAGCAAACTATGCTAAGAGAACTTGAGAACTTATTATTATCTTTTGAGACTCAGCATGTTTGGCATGCTTGGTATTTGTTGTTTTGTGAACAACAATATGAACACTCTTTTCCTTCCCTAAGCAAATCTCAAGATGCGATGAGTGAACCTCAATCTCCTATACCAAAAGAAAAGAAAATAGCTTTCATAGATGCTACTTCAAGAATAGGATGCATAATGGTTCATCTTTATTTGAAGTACAGCAGACAAAAGTTAGAAAAGCTGCTCGAACAAGCTAGGTAGAATCATGATCTTCCATGACTTTGAATTCCTCATCATGACCACACAGCTGCTGAAGGAAATAAGGCTCCTATAATTAATAATGCTGAAAAAGATTACGATAGTTACTGTGAAGTAAGTTGTTATTCATGGAAGCTCCATATTAGAGTTTGGTGGAGAGAGAATACACGGTTTGAAGAGAGAGAAACTCACTTGAATTAAACACTTATTGACGGCATGACAAACTCTCTTGCTGAGGGCAAAGTCTATTTAAATTGCTTGCCGTAAAAATGTAATGATCAAAATGTCCAAATCAGCTTAAATATGATCACTAATAATTGATAGGTGATAACATAACTGCTCTGCGTGTTGGATTCTCTTTCCATATATCCAATTTGAATGTTCCAACTTATTATATATGGTTTATTCAGCTAGACCTAAATCCATTTCCATATAGTGCTTTAATATAACATAATTATGTTATATTAGTCCATAAATATTCCAATACTTGCGTCAAGCTATCAAGAAAATTACTGACATGGAAGAGCTTGGGGCATCTGGTTTTTCAGATATATCTCTGGTCTTTATTCATATATCCCAATTAAATGATATTTTATATATATGCAAGATGTCCATAAGCTTCTTTACTCTTTTAAATCTTCTAGAGTAGCCTCGATCTCTAGGAGTAAAATACTAAAGTGGAGTAGTCTTTTTAATTTTTATCTTTCTCCTTCCTTATTACATGATCTTCTAATTAACCCTGTAATATTTTCATAGTTGTTCTTTAATTAATTAAAGAAAAAGAATGATCTAAAGATTTTTTTTTCCCTCATTTTGTTTTGTTCTTTTCTTTTCCTTCCTCACATAAGCAACGAGCCTTCTTTCTCATTTTGTTTTGGATTCTTTTCTTTTCTTGTTCGGTACCATGCATGGATTCTCTTCTTGTCTTTTTTTAAATATTATATATAGATGCTTCTCTCTCTGTAGAAACTACCACGACACATTTTTCTATAGAAGTTAATAAATTAAAGTAGCAGCGAAGAGCTGCTCTTTCTTTGTGTGCTAGGAAAACTGCTACTTGCAAAGGTTTAAGTTATAGATAGTTTCCTATCTTGTTGTGTGTGTGTAGTTGCTTAAAAAGAATGCTTTATTGTTCTCTCTATCTTCATGCTTGCTCTTAATTGTTTAAATTTTCTTATTTAAACCCATTTTTTATTCGGAAAAACATCTTAAAACTACTCCTTTTGTTCTAAATTATAAAATACTTTTAAATAAAATCTCACACACCAATAAACCTCATTAAATACATTTAACAACTTTATTTTTTTCAAAAAAAAGTATAAATTTTTAAAAATACCTTTCATTTAATAACCTTAAATCTACACTTAAGTAATATTAAATAGAGAGAGAAAGGGTAATATTAGAATAAGCCTATTTAATAAAACTTTAATATTCTCAAAGTGTCTTATATTTTGAAATAACAAATCTCTCCCAAGAGTGTTTTATAATTAAAGACAGAGGAAGTACATTATATATAATAATTTTGGGTGCTATCTTAAGCTAATTGCAAAAGTTGTGGCAGCTCTGGTACAGTGGTAATACTAAGTGAGAATCGGTTTCATATAGCAGAAAGAAGCTGAACTACATTCTGAATTTTATATTGTATGGAAATTAATTAGGGGATGATATTATATGTGCATCACATGGGTGACTAAGCTTCAATCATTTGATTTTATAGTTTTGATTGAGTTATAACTCAATCCCTGTAACTTTGACTTGGTTAAAATTCAGTCACATAATTTTAAGTATTTAAACTTTATTCTATATTCTAGTTTATCTGATTTTTATATTGATGTATATGTTAAACTCTTTATATGAAGTATATTTGAAGGTAGTCTATTATTTAAACCCATATTTACGAAGATGGATTATCACAATTATAGGTATGGAACTTGAGTTTTTTTTTTTTTTGGAATTAGAGGGATATATAGGCATTAACAGCTTGAGTTTACAAGTGGGATCAAGTTCTTACTCTTGTTTGAACTTTTTTTTTGTTTGAACTTTTTTTATTCTGAAAAATATATATATGAAAATATTATATTAATTATCAAGAATTTGGTTGCTATTTATTATATTGTGAGCTGTAAAAGTTGGGGCTGTTTGATAGTGACAATAGAAAATCAAGAAGTTTTGACTGATGGAGAATCAGTTTCATATTGCACAAAGAAGCCCACCTTCATTCTAAATTCTAGTTTTTATTATTTTGTAAATATTATATTGAAAATAATTATGAACTTCGTCACAGGAATGGAACCTAAATTCTATAAAGCTGCTGTGGCTGGTGGAATTGATGTGTTTAAGGGAAAGTCGTCTGATCAAATTGAGTCCATGCTAACTCCAAATAAAAACACAATCCTTCATATTCACTTGACATGTTATAAGGTATCAGAGACATTGTGAATGGGATTCTAGATACGTGTCATGTACTTTTGAAAAAGGCCAACCTTAAGGATGAAACTATCCTTCATATAGCAGCCAGGTATGGCCATATTGAAATTGTGAAAATAATTGTTAAACGTGCTAAAATTGCCCATATTGGAGATGGAATTGAGGAAACACTTATAAGGGCTACAAATTATAAGAAGGACACAGCCCTACATGAAGCAATACGTTATAATCACAAAGAAATAGTTGATTTCTTGATAAAGGAAGACCCACATCTTCCATATTTTGCTAATAGTAATGGGGAGACTCCGCTTTATATTGCTACTGAGAGAGTCTATGAGAAAATAATTGATACACTATTAGAGAATAACAATTCACCGAATCATAGCGGCCCCAACGGCAGAACAGCATTACATGCGGCTATCATTCATCATGAGAAGATAACAAAAGGTATCATTACATTATATGCTTTTTGCATTTTATCATTTATAATAATTAAATTTTTATTTGAACTGTATATATAAATATCTTGATTATTGTGTGTGTGTATATTAAGCTACAATGTTATAATATCAATGACTAGAGATGCGTTATAAAAAATTAGTTTTTAATTAAAAAGGTTAACCACATGTACATATAAATTTATTACAATAATTTAAATGGAATGTTGTATGCTTGTATGTGGCCACGAAATTGAATTTTCATACAAATTAAAGGACGAAATGCATGTTTTTAATAGCAATTGTAATTGAAAGATATTTAATTTGATTTAAAAATGAAGGTGATGAAGCTTGATGAATTGGTGCTACAGGGACATTGGAGAAGCTGATATTGAAAATACCATCAATGGTGAATGAAGCAGATGACGATGGTTGGAGTCCACTTCACTTGGCAGTAATATTTGAAAGTCCTGAATTGATAGAGATGTTATTAAAGCATGGTGGCACAGCATACATGAGAGACAAAAAGGGAAGGACGGCTCTTCACCTTGCTGCATATTATGGAAATGGTAGCCTTGTGAGAAAGATAATAGAATCTTGTCCAGATTGTTCGGAGTTGGTGGATCACAAGGGTTGCAATGCTCTTCATTATACTATTGCGGGGCTTAAGAAATATACTACTAATGAACAAGGTCTTTGTGAGGAAGCATCAAGAGTGATTTTGAAAGAGGAGCATCTAAGCAACATGTACAATGAGAAAGATGAAGAAGGCAACACACCCCTTCACCACCTTGCTCTTTATGCTCCCAAATGGCAAGAGGATCACTCTCATCCCCTTCTGGAACCAAACCCAAGAGTGGACACGATGGCATTCAATAAAAACAACCAAACCGCTCTTGATCTTGCTTGTGATATTGTGCCTTCAACTTTACAACGCGAGGTAACAAGCAGTGATAACATCTAGCTACCTTTCTAATAAAAATATATAAACACAATATTTTATGAAATAATTATTAGGTGGTTCTCTTTTTCAAAATGAAAATGACAAATACCTATTGCATGTTGCAGAATTTTTTCTTGCGGAAACTTCAACACAAAATTAGAGCAAGCTATGGTAGGAGAGTTATAAATGAGGAAGTTAAAGTGAGGAAACAACAGAAGAGACGTGATTTAGAGGTACTTAAGAACAAGGAACTAGTGGAGGTGAAAACAGGGAACAAGGAACGAGAGAAGTACGATGATGAAAAAAAAGAAATCAAGGACAAAATGAGAGAAACCTTGCTTATAGTAGCCACACTGATAGCAACAGTAACATTTGCAGTAGGATTTACGCTGCCTGGAGGTACCATAGAAGACGGTGAAAATAATAAGAGCTCTCCTATATTGATACACAGTGATGCTTTCCAGACGTTTGTGATAGCAAACTCTCTCTCCTTTGTTCTCTCTGCTTTTGCTGTCTTTCTCCAAATTTTCTTGCCAGTTATGGTGACAAGAAAAAACATTAACCCTGACATTCAATATGCTTTTTTCTCGGCAGCCTTAATGCTGACACTATTGGGAATGGGATTCATGATAATTGCATTTGGAACAGGCACATACGCCATCTTGGGTCCTTCCACAGTTCTTGCAGTTGTCACTCTTGTTATTGCATTTTCTTTCTTCATGACCTTTCCTTTTGTCTTTTATCTACTTCTCAAGGATGTCATGACGCGCCGGCGGCAGCAGGGTGATGAAGAAAAACTTAAAGTTGAATCTTTGCAAGAGTTTGATCCTGGATTTGTTGACCATAAATTAGAAGACATGCAATTGTTGGATAGCATATGATGAGATGTCCCAAAAACATGTCAAAGATTTTTTCCCATCTCTTATTCACATATTTGCATTTCTGTTGTGTATACTTGCAGCCAGTATATGTTATTATTGACCACAGAATTAAACACGCCATTCTCTATTAGTGTACTTTCCTCAAATAAAATTATTTCAATTTGTTTGGTTTGTAATTTTTTTAATCTCTTTTGGCCAATAGTTGTTGAATTTTCTGAAATTAATTTTAAAATTTTTTATCTTTTAAGTTTTAACTAAATTTACTCATTTAATTGTGTTCTTGTTACCTTATATATTTCAAAATCGCCATGATGATGAATGACACAGTTGCCCAACATTGAAGCTTAATCTTTCACTGCCTTGAATAACAACATATGCATGTATGCATGTGTTTTATAATTTCTTTTATTCTTAATTAGCCATTTCCTTGAGTGACACCATTTTGTTTTCCCTGATTAAAGTATTTCTTCAACAATTTTGATTCTATATATTGTTTTATTATTCCGCATGCATCTTCATCTGAAACATCAAATAATCAAGGCAAAGTGTTTTAATGGAAATTAGATTATTTTCTTAAATTTATTTCAACAACATTAAAAAGTTGGTGTTCAACCTATAACCCCTTTAAAGATATATATTAAACTTAAATATATATTTTAATTTTGATGATAAATTAAAGCATTAATATATCATGTCTTTCTAATTAGTGATGTCTCAAAGGTCTAAACTCCCAATTTTTGCCCAAGCCTTGCTTTTAATCAATCAATAAGTGCCAAATCTTAAAGCGCTGTTTCACTATACAATTTTCTCAAATGCAAATATTATCATCACTAATATAAAAAAAACCCTACAAGAGCACTTATTTTTAAGCTATGGGAGCGCTTTTGAAGCACTCTCGTAACTAGTACTCTTGTACGTGGAGTACAAGGGAGCACTTTCCCATAGACATTCTCAAGTTAAGTTCTTGAGAAGACTTATGGGAGCGGTTTTGTGGGAAGCGCTCCAGTACAGGAGCGCTTCCAAGGATAACCTACAAGAGTGCTTTTTATTTTAAGCACTCTGATAGGTTAACTTTTAAAAAAATAAAAAATATTTTGCTTTATAATATTGCATGCTATTTATACACAATATTTTAAAGATGAATTTAACATGATAAAAAAAATACATACTTCCTCTTAAAATTTTAAAAATACAATGTTCTTGTATGTTTGGTAACCACAATCTTAATCAACTATAACCACAAAATATGAATATAATCTTCAAAGTAAAAAATTATCCTCAAAAAATGCCTTCAACAATAATGCCAACCTGCAAGAAATAAATAAAGCAAGTTTAGATCTCATCAACCAACAAAAAGTGGGAGTTGAAAAGCAACAAACAAAATAAAAGTAATTAAATAATGTATAAAAAATAAAAACAAGTAATTTAAATTTAATATTTACTTTTGAAGTAACTATGACTTCAAAAAAAAATTAAAGCAAAATTACCTTCTTGAAATTATGGGCAAACATGACTTCCAACAAAGTAATTGTACCAATCAGTTTGCTGTCATAGTAATGGTTTCTACACCCTTTTCCAATGGCAGCCCATCAAAATGCATACATAACAGTATTAAACCTACATATGAAGATAGATAAGAATATGTTACTAGAGTCAGCCCTAGTGTGAAATATATGGAGCTAGATAAAGAATGTTATTTGAAATCTAACCTTAAAGTATACAAGAGCCGCTTTGTACCTCATTCAACATTTGGTTCGTAACTTGAAATAAACAAAGTCAAAAATTCAAAACATTTAAAACCTTCATAAATATGATTAAAATATCTAAAAAAGGGAGAAAAAGAAACCTTTAACGATTAGTTAAAATATGATGTGCTCTCATTGATTACTTAATTGAGATTAAAAATTAGTCTAATGCAAGTCTAAATAGGTATATCATGTCTAACAATATATAGAAGCTAGTTTTAGTGCCAATTCCAATGAACTCGTGTTGTTGCAACCATCAACCACAATTTGCATATTTTTATTAGAGCACAAGCCTTGGGCAATTACAGCAAACAAGGAGAATAAAAGGTTTAAAAGTATATATTCACCAGGCAATTTAAATCTGTATCTCCAAGAAGCAAAACAAAATTTAGTGAATGCTTGTTCACTGTCATCTACACAAGAGCAGATTGATAAGAATGATTCATAAGGGCAGGTAACAATATGATCACATTAATCTTGACTAAATAAGCAATATAGATTTAAATATAAACATTATTTCCATGCTCACTTAGCACAAATTAATAAGTGCATCCAAATGTTAGACCTATAATTACATGAAAAGTGACGGAAAGTAAAAAATTGCAATTTGAACATGCTTAAGACCTATAATTACATCATGAATCTTGAAGTGAGAAAGAGAGTGTCTATTCAAGAAAAGGCCAGAAAAAAGAAAAATCAAACTTTCAGGTACTTGATGAAAATGAAAATGACATCTAAGAAGGAAAGGCAAACAAATTAGCACAAAACTTGAATTAAGACTAGAATCTGCATATGATTTAGGTTCTGCAAGATTTGATTCACACATCTAGCATAATTAGCACAATATGTTCTGTTAGGAGCTAGAAGAAGGCAAGCCTGCAGAACGTCCTAAGAAATTAGGAAAAACCATATATGCAACTCACAGCTATAAAATAACAAAAGGCAGTGATAAAGGTAGCCACAACTTCAAAATACTAAATGACATGTCACACAGTGAGAGGCATATACTAGTCTAATGTACGTTAGTGTCCTGGTAAAATTTCATATTAAAAAAAATAGCATTTGAATCACATCATAATTTCCAAGGAAATAGTTAATATTTTCATGCTTTCATTTCCAAGAATTCTTCAATTCTCGTCACTAAGTAGTCGGGCAACATATTAACTTTGAAAAGCCTCATAAATGAAGTTAAAAATAGTATAGAAAGTATTGGCATCAACATCTATGAATCATAATTGAACAGAGAGAGAACAGAAAAGCTTCATCATAAGCTGAGTCCAATGAACCTCGTTAAAAGCACTAAGCAAGCATGGCCACGGAAGTAAAATATCCCTAAACAGAACCCAGTACTTACAATAAGATCTAGTGGTTACAAAGCAGTTGCAAATCAAGGAAATGATGGAGAAAATAGAGAAAGAGAAAGCAAGATCACCTCGGGGGGGAGAGTGAAGAGGAATCTCTTGAACAGATCACAGGGAATGGAATGGCGAGGCTAAATGGAGCCGGAGAGTATGGGGTTAATGAGTAAGACAGAAGAAAGAAAAGCACAGAGAGAGAGGGAGAGGGGGGGAGGAGGTGAGATGATTTACAGTGAGCTCCTCTTCTGCTTTCTGTGCATTTTAACGGAGACCCAACGGCAAAGGAGTGACCGAAGCGACGGACAGCACAAGTTTTTGATCTAGACAGGTTTTCTGGCGACTGAAATGACACGAGAAAGAAGATCAAAGGTTTAGGATGGCAAATTGACGTGATGCGAGCAAGACTGGTCTAGAACCATTCGGCGATACAGTGCTGCACCTTCCTGCGGCGTTGGGCAGCAACTCCTGCGACGTTTGGCGGGCTGACGAGATAGAGTAGATTTTTCGAAAGCGGGAAGAGGGTTTTGAGAGATTTCGACAGTTGTAGTGTCAAGATTATTGGCATTTATTTCGAGGGTCTAAAAGATTTAAATCAATCTTTTTTAAAAAAATTCAAAGAGTATTTTTTAAAAGTATTTAGTTATTAAGTGCTCCAAAAGTGCTAAGTTTTTTTTTTAAATGAAATATTTCGAAGCATTTAAAAAATAAGCACTCTAAAAAATAGGTTTTTTAATTCATTTTTAGAAGTTCTTGTACAATAAGCGCTCTTAAAAGTGAGTTATTTTTTTTAACTTCGTCTTTAAAAGCACTTATCTTTTGAATGCTCTTAAACGCATATTTAATTTTTGCAAGTGCTCCTAAAGGTCTATCTTTTTATTTTTTCATACAAATTTTAGGAACGCTTATAGTAAAGCGCTTTTATAGGTATCCTATTCCTGAGCGCTTTTTATTTAAAGCATTTCGATAAATTCTGCCTCCACAATTAAGAGTATTTTTTTCATAAGCACTTCAAAATAAGTGCTCCTAAATATATCTTTTATAGTAGTGCGTGTGCTTCACCACTTATTAGGCCTTAGGTCACACATCGCCATGTCATATTTTCATTTGATGAATGTTTCTTCTGAACGTGTGGCCTCTTGCTTCATGATGCCTTTGAAGCATGAACTTAATTTTTTGCCAGTTACGTTAAAATGTATTTGCAATCTTTATGTAAAATATTAAATATATATTGTTTAAATACACACTAATCAATTGATAAAGTATTATAAAATATAAATATATCTTATATGTCATAATTAATATAATAAAATATATGTGTAAATTTATTTTGCATTTTTTATTTTTATAAAAATATTATTTTTATTAAAATTAATGTAAAGTGAAAACATTTCTGGTTTGAATCTTAAATAATTTATATTTAATTTTAAATTTTCATAAAATATATATATTCATAAATATTATAAATTAATTTTTTATTTAATAATATTTTTATTACTTATAATTTTCAAATCTCAAATCTTTTTATTGTCAATTAATTAATATTAATTTTAAAGTTATTAATGCTTGTATTTTTTTAGTATTCAAAAGTTTAGGTTAGTTATTAATCCTAGTAAATTTTTAAATAAGCTTAATTTTGTATAAATTATTTTATATTAAATAAATTTAGAAGCAACACATTATAATTTATGTTTGTCATTAGCAAGGAACAAAATTTCCTCGCTATTCCCTCACTGATGTCAGAGAATCATTTTGTCACTTGCTAATCCCTTGCTAATATGTCAATCTTTTATAGGAAATAAATCCCTTGCTAATTGTCCTTGCTAAATGTAAATTTTAGAGATGTCAAAATTGTTCATCACTAACTGCCTTCCTAATTTTTCATTTTTACATAGGAATATGATATAGTAGAAGTTTAAAAATTATTTACTTTTATAATTTATTATTATGCAATAAACAGATAATTTAAAAAAATAATAAATTATATCTTATATAAATAGAAATTACAATGTACTATAAAGATAATAAAATATTTTTGATTTAATATTAAATTTCCTAACAAAATGAGTTTTAAAAATTATGATACAAATAATTATTATAACTATACATTTACATATAAATTGAATTATCATATGAATATATCAAAATAATTTTTAATAAAAAACATACATACATATATGTATATGTAAATGTATATGTATATGTATATGTGTATATATATATGTATATGTATATAAGTATAGTTAAATATTATGTATTTAATTTCTCATCGTGGAGAACACAGAGTTGGTGAAGGAAATAAGGCTCCTATTGTGATGCTAAAATAGATTATGATAATTACCTTGAAACAAGTTGTTATCCGTGGAAGCTCCAGATTAGAGTTTGGTGGAGAGAGAATACGTACACGAGTTGAAGAGAGAGCAACTCATTTAAAACATATACTGATGGCAAGACAAACACTTGTCGGACAAAGTCTTTTTAAATTGCTTGCTATAAAAAATGTAATGATCAAAATGTCTCTATCAGCTTAAATGTGATCACTAATAAGTGATAAGCGATAACATAAATGCTCTGCAAGTTGGAGTCTCTTTAGGTATATTCAAATTGAATATTCCAATTTATTATATATGGTTTATTCAGTAAGACTTCAATCCATTTCCATATAGTGCTTTAATATAACATGATTATGTTATACTAATCCATAAATATTTCAATAATTTTGTAAGAAAATGACTGATATGGAAGAGCTTGGGGCATCTGATTTTTCAGATATAGCTCTAGTCTTTATTCATATATCCTAAAAAGAAAACGAGATTTTATATGTAAAATATCCATAAACTTCTTTTCTCTTTTTAAATCTTATAGAGTAGAGATCCTCGATCCGTAAAATAATAAAGTGGAATAATCTTTTTTAATTTTTATCTTTCTCCTTTCTTATTACATGATCTTCTAATTAACCCTACAATATTTTCAGAGATGTTCTTACATTAAAAAAAAAAGAAGAATAATCTAAAGAGTTCTTTTCTTTCTCATTTTGTTTTGTTTTATTCTTTTCTTTTCTCCCCTCATATAAGCAACAAACCTTCTTTTCTCATTTTGTTTTGGATTCTTTTCTTTTTTAGGTGGATTCTTTTCTTGTCTTTTTTTTTTAACACTATATATAGATGCCTCTCTCTGAAAATTACCACGACACATTTTTCTATAAAAATTAATAAATTAAAGTAGCAACAAAGAGTTGGTCTTTCATTGTGTGCTAGGCAAACGGCTATACTTTTAAAGGTTTGAGTTTTCGTGCTTGCTCTTAGTTGTTTAAATTTTCTTTTTTAAACCCATACTTTATTCAAAAAAACATCTTAAAACAACATTATATATTAAGAATTTGGGTGCTATCTTAAGTTGCAAAAGTTGTGGGAGCTCTGGTACAGTGGTACGTACTTGACTATACTAAGTGAGAATCAGTTTCATATAGCAAAAAGAAGTTAAACTTCATTCTAAATTCTATATATAGTTTATCTGAATTTTATATGTGCGTAACATGGGTGACTTAGCTTCAATCATTTGATTTTAAAGTTTTGATTGAGTTATAACTTGGCTCCTATAGCTTTGACTTGGTTGAAACTAAGTCTCATAATTTTAACTATTTAAACTTTATTCTAAATTCTAGTTTATCTGATTTTTATATTGATGTATGCTCCAATGAGTATATATTCATGACCATGCAGAAAAAGAGCAACAAGGGAAAAAAGGTGCGTTAACATTCATTAATTGATGCTATTATTTAAACCCATATTTAAGAAGATGGATTATCACAATTATAGGTATGGAACTTGATTTTTATTTTTTTGAATTAGAGGGACATGCACTAACAGCTTGAGTGTACAAATGGGATCAAGTTCTTGTTCTTGCTTGAACTTTTTTTATCCTGAAAAAAAAAAAACGCACACACACACACACATATATGAAAATATTATATTAATTATCAAGAATTTGATTGCTATTTATTACATTGAAAGCTGTAAAAGTTGTGGTTGTTTTGATAGTGAGACAATCGAAAATAAAAAAGTTTTGATTGAGGAAGCACTACAAAAAAATAGTGAATTAGCAATGAAATTTATTAATGAAATAAATTTCTCTCATTAATCTGTTGCTAATTTGCTGATTGAATTTAGTGATGGGACATTCCATCATGAACTATATTCCATCTCAAAACTATTAGAAATAATTTTATTGACGGAACATTTCTATCAAAAAATTAGTGACAAACATTTTCATCAAAACATTCCATCACTAAACTATCAAAAATAATTTAGTAACGGAATTTTTTGACGGAAATGTCTGTCGCTAATTTTCAAAATACGTTATTCTTATTTTGTGACAACTTTTGCAACAAAAAGTTCTATCACAAACCTTTCTATCAAAAATTATTTAAAATTTTATTATATAAGTTATAATATATATTTATATATAATTTATTATTATGTTATAAATAAATAATTTAATGATTATAATTTATTATTTTAAATTATTAAGGCATTAATAATAATTATAATAAATTAAATTATATATTTAATTATTTTTTTGATAACATACCTAATTATTGTTATTTAAAAATAAAAATATCTGTAAAAATAATTTAATAATATAAAATATTATATATTATAAAAATTATAATATAATATATTGTGGTAATAACATATTTGTCTAATTTGATATTACAATGGATTAGTGATGGGGCAATGATGATTTTTTGTGAAACTTTTATTTACAATAGATTAGTGACATGTTTTATCACAGAATTGAAATAGTTTATCTTTATTTAGTGATAGAAATTTTTTATTGTTAACAAATTAGTGACGGTGTTTTTATTAATAAACTTATTTCATCACTAATTTCATTGCTAAATGGGTTAGTGATGGAATTTGCATTGATTAGCGATAAAAATTCCATAGCTAATCCATTGTTTTTTTGTAGTGAGAATCAGTTTCATATAGCATGAAGAAGCCCAACTTCATCTTATATTCTAGTTTTATAATTTTGTTATATTATATTGAAAATAATTACATACAATTTCATCATAGGTATGGAACCTGAATTCTGTAAAGCTGCTGTGCCTGGAGAAATTAATGTGTTCTAGGGAAGGTCTGACCATATTGAAAATTTAGATGTTGACCAAATGTCAATCAGTTTCATATAGTTAGAACAAGCTCAACTTCATTTTTCCAAATTCTTTTTCTTATTTTTATATTCTAAATTCTGGTTTTTTACTGATTTTTAGCATGCCAGAATCCTCCCAATTGATCACTTCAACGGAACATGTTTCCATGCACATTACGAGTGTGAAAGTTGAAGTCTATAGAGCTGTCGTGGTTGATAAAATTGATGTGTTTAGGAGAAAGTTGTCTAATCAAATTGAGTCCATGCTAACTCCAAATAAAAACACAATCCTTCATGTCCACTTGACACGTTGTGAGGTAATAGAGGCATTTATGAAAGAGATTCTAGATGTGTCC